TCGCCTACATCGTCCATATAGGACGACTCGGGAACTCAACTCCTACCCCGGGCAGCTCACCTATCCCCTTATGCCCAGGGGAAAGGTATCAAGCCGTTTGACAGCTGATGCTGGCTGTCAAACCGGCTTTTACGCAAAACAGGCGGGAGGCAGCAAACAGCTGCGACCGACGAAATCGCCTGCCACCGGAAGTCTCGAAAGTTCTATTTCAATGCCACTATGGTGTTGCTGCTGTTGAGTGATGTTGCCATGCTGCCACAATCATATGATCCTCATTCATAATGTTCCTTACAACATTCCACAAGTCAATGGGAAAACTCACAGGAAGAAAGGCAGTGAGGATCATATGATCACAGCTGATGGTGGGAGCATAGTAGCAGGTTTGGACTTACAACTTCTTTCATAGGAAGCTTGCAGGGAGAAAGTTAATGAGAAATCTTGCGGGGAAGTCATGGGTTGCTTGGGTAAGTCTCCTGCACTCATGCAATCTCAGCCACTCCCTCTGCACTCATGAATATATTTGAAGAAATAACTCAATGAGTAATAGGTTGTCTACTACTTTAAAAAAAATGAGCAAGACTTATGAGTTGGAAGAGCATTATATGAGTTACTTTCAGACCCATAATTATTAGAATCTATACATTAAAAGGCAATATTATCAGAGAAACATATTCCTGTAGAAAATGACACATATGCTCTGTGTTCTTTTCAGAGGAAGAAGATAAATGAAAGCATGTTGCTTTTTAAATGCCTAAGCTACATCTCAGATCTAAAAGAAATTAAACAAATCAATATACTTTGTTACAAATAAAGGCTTGGCCTGACTCCCAGACATAGGGAAAATCATAATTTCCACTTGCCCTGGCAAAAAACAGTTTATTTGCAATTTGGAAGAGTTTATTTGCAATTTGGAAGAATGATGACAGAAATTAACCAGAAAATAATTTCATTACTGGGCTATGCAAAATAAGTTTTCTATAAAAGGCATTGTAAAACAAACAAACAAAATATGTACTGAACTTTTCCGGAAACTAAGAAAGCACCAAGGGTATGTCATATTGGAAAACAAGATAATACAATAGTTATACAAAATGCCAAACAAAATGCTTATATTCTCTTCTAAGGATTATTTCCCTCATAACCAAATGGTTTTTATTTATTTTTAAATGGACATGCATAAAATAATGTAAACAATTTGCCATACAAAAAAACACTTCAAGTGATGAAGTTTCATTAAAAATAGACACATTATTCTAAGTCAATACAGACATGATACAAATATAAGTGATGGAAGCTGCATAAAAGCTAATTGCTATTAATCCTAAAGATCCAATATTACCTTGGATTGGGGACAGCAGCTTTCCAGCTGCAAAGGAACGATGCAGCTCGTTGATGACTGTAAGCATCAAACATTGCCTTAAGGTAGCATTTGGCCTGATTCATCAAGCTATTCTTATATAGAATAGAGCTATTTTTATTAACCATTTACTGAATCAGAAGTAATACTGCAATTCAATAATATGCTGCAGGAACATGTATGTCATAAATTCATTCACTTAATATTATTTAAATCATGAACTGCCCTCAATTTCTAATTCAGCATGCATTTATATAGTAGTACCCGTGAAGTTAGAAGTAGACAAAATGAGTAGTGTCCAATGTATGCAAAAGTGTTCTTTGATAACAAGAAATAATAGCTCAAATTATCTTTATTCAATTATACTATACCTGTATACGGTGGTATATGTAAACTTTTTGTGTCAAATTTCAATGGTGTTTGTTTTACTATCTAAAAAAGAAAAGAAACTGATTTAAGGCAACTTTAGGTATCTCACAGAGAAGAAAATATATATGCCTCCTCTCAGTTATAGTACCTTGAACAATAATAAACAAATGAACAGTTATTATGTCAACTATAAACCCAGAAACACATTGTAACACAAAGCTGAACCCATAGGATAAGAGTCTAGATGTCTTAAACCTCCTTTTCATTTGAGTATATCCATTTAGCCTACTGCCCGTCTTTGTGTAGCTACCGGATAGTTACCACCACCACCTACTTCACAGGAGGACATGTTTACTTGGCATTTACCCCTCAACACCTGTATATGAGAAAAATAGGAATTTCACAACCTAAGTGATTTGCTATAGAAAAAAAAGATTATGAAAAGGAAATACTTGTCACCTCTTTGCTCTTATACTTTTGAGGTTTGTAACTGGGAAAGTAACTCTCCTCCTTTGGGATTTGAATCAACGCCAAAATACATCTAAATCAAATTTCATTAAGTAAAGATGAAAAAAGAATATAAAAATTCCTTTTCAACTTTAGATAGCCACATGTAAAATAACAATGATGGAGGGGAGAAAATGTACAGTACCAATAAAATCACAAATAGTGCCTGCAAATCCACTGTAAAAAACTGTAAAGAATACTGTACAAGCTTAGAACATATCACGAAGTGTGATGGAATAGTTCAGAGTTGAAGCATCAAGTATACAATAACTGAGCCTATAGAGATGCAATAAACATCAAAGATAAACCAAAAATTCATAGAAAATAAATATCCGAAATACAATAATATACGGGTATTTCTCAAATTATGAATGATTGCTTAGAACCATTCAAAGTTCTGACAAACCTCTTCAGGAGTACTTATGATCTGTATTCCAATGGCTACCCCTGACCCACAACATACACAGTCATGTCATCGCATTTTAGGGACTTAGCAAATAGCCCACCTTTATAGTTGTTAGCTGCATCCCGCAATCATGTAACTGTGATTTATGACTTTTTTTTAGTGAAAACAAGTGTTTACTTCCAGTTTCCATTAAAAAAAATGCTCCTTGTTAACAATGGATTTGCTTAATGACAGTGGTGATTCACTTATGATTACTCATAATATCAAGTGTGGTGGTGACCCACTTAAAGATCCGAGGACTTATGACAGTAATTATGGTTGTAAGTCAAGGACTACCTATATAAACATTAACCCATGACTAGCTAAGTAACAAATCCTTGAATCAGGAGTTCCAGTCTGATTCAATCTTACCTGGATTAGTTTTGAAGTTCCTGAAATTCCTGCCTTAATTCTGAGAATCATTTCAGCCTTCCTTCCTAATTTATGCTGCCATACCTCTTCTTTATTTCCCTTCTACAGGAGTTCTGTCTACTACTTTCCAAAATAAGAAAATGCTCTTCAATCCTAAGAAGGGAGGTGTTGGGCAATTTGACTCTCTACATAACAAAGTACAAGACACCTCAGAGGCAGTGCAAGGCTATATCCATCTATCTTTTATATTAATTGGCTGGGAATGTGGGAGCAGGCTAGCCTCCCCATTCCTTACTTGAAAGAACCACCTCTACGTTTAAGGATTAGAATTCCCACAGCATCTGATTCCTTTGGTACCTGACTCTGCATTCCAGAGCTATGCTCAAATTTCACTTTCAATTTTAGACATTAAAATGGCAGAATTCTCTTTGTAATGTTATGTGTAACCACAAGACTGCTTTACTCAATGGCCATAATCTCACAACTGCTGTTTGTAGTCATTAAGCAAATTTGCAGGTCCTTAAGTGGATGGAGTCCCAGGCAAGGAATGTCAGGTGCTTCACAGGGCTGGGAAGACCCTGGGAGGCCTGGTGCAAGCAGTCAGTGTGCAATGTCTCTGCTCAGGAACTGAAAATCCTCCCTGCTAAAATTCAAACAGGAATTTCAGCCACTGAAAAGAGATACTCTTGTGAAGCTGAGCTACGTATTCCAGTGCTTCACCCACCTACTTGAGATGTCCTACCTTCCTTATGTTATTGTGCTATTTCTCTGCTCAGGGGCTAAAAACTCTGCTTGGATTTCAGTTCCCTCTCTTCTCTGACAGCTGACTAAGGAGTTCCCTGACAGAGCTCTCGGACACATTTCAGCTCTGTGCTTGCTTCAATATTTCAGCTCCATGCAAGCAGGCACAAATCTCAAATTCCTTGGCAGGGTGGTCTTTTAGCCAACCACTAGAGATGAGGAGTCTTCATAGCAGGTGGCAGCACCTTGCAACCTTCCCTGCCAGGTTCCCCAGCATGGCAGAAAAAAATTACAAATGGTGATCACATGATTGAGGGGCACTTGGCAACTGGTTATAAGTGCAAAGACGTTGCCCAGTACCCAGATTACAGTCCTGTGATTGTGGACAAGGAGGGAGATAATGACATTTTTTTGAAGCTGCCATTAATTTAAGCAATCATTAAGCAAACGGTAATAAATTGAGGACTACCTGTAATTTATTCAGTAATATATCACTGGGCTAAAAAAATAGAATTACTTCTTTATAATCCTAAAATATTTTATATAAATGAGTAAATTTTATTATTACAGTGATCCAAATTTCAAATATAGAATTTCAGCCTACAGGTAGTTCTTGACTTAAATCATTTGTTTAGTGATCATTCAAAGTTACTACAGCATTGACATGTGCGTCTTATGACTCATAGCAGAATCTCCATAGTCCAGTCCTGATTATGGTAGTAACTCGAGAACTACCTATACTTTGGAAGTGATATTTTTGCTAGAGCTGACCTAGAAAATGTTGTGACTGAACAATTTATGAAAAGATATTAGGAATTGTATCAGTATATTATTGGTAACAAAACATTATGTTTTAGACATTTCTCTAAAGGCAATTGTGACTACATTTTCTATTGCTAAGTTATGCAGTCATAAATTATAAAGTCATGAGACTCCATTGACAGCAATTCTGGTTATCCTGGTTACAGCTGGAATGCATGGGTCATTACGCAGGAAGAGGCAGACATCCCAGGCAAGCAGGCCAGCAGGTAGCACTGGAAGCAAGCACTACAGAACACAATAGAAGTGAAAAAGCATTGGAAGAGAGAGCAACTTTTGCCAGCTTTCCCATTGACTTTGCTTGTAAAAAGTTGCAAGGAAATGTTGGAATTCACAATCATGACTACAACTCATTCATAATCATAAACCAGGCATCCAACACTTAGATCAGTGATGGCGAACCTTTTAGAGACCGAGTGCCCAAACTGCAACCCAAACCCCACTTATGCATTGTCGGCTGCCGGGTGGGTGTGGCCCATTGGGTGGGTGTGACCCATTGGGTGGGTGTGGCCCATTGGGTGGGCATGGCTGCGGTGGTAACAGCAGACTGGGTGGGACTAAAAAGTTCAATCAATCAATTCCAACTTTGCAAGATCTTTTTTTTTCCGCGAGAAGTTGAAATTGACTGACTGATTGAACCTTTTTTTTTGGTACACAGCGGCAGAGGCCTAACGCAAAAAGGTTTTATAAAACCTAGCTGAAAGCCTAGGACTGGGGCGACGGCGCACGTGCCCACAGAGAGGGCTCTGAGTGCCGCCTCTGGCACCTGTGCCATAGGTTCGCCACCACTGGACTAGATCATTATCATGTGACTCAGTTCAGACACTACGATCACTGGAACTTAGAGATGCAGTACTATATTCCTCCCCTATTCAACACCATCATAACTTTGAATAGTTAAAGAAAAGTGATCTTAACATGAGGACTATCCATATCTATAAATACATGGATCTTCTATGGCCTCTATTCAGGCTCTTTACTATTTAACAGACCAACTTTCAGAATTATTATATCTTTAACTGGTTGCCACTTTGTCAAAAGAATACTTTCTACGTAATATGTTTAATTTTTAAAAAGCTAAAAGTCTTTTCATTAAAGTGAGGTGATATTAGTTATACAAACTATTCAACCACTAATGTGATTTCCACATTAAAAGGAAGAAACCAGAATTAGACATTAGATGGGAGTATTAAAAGTGAATGATGTCTTAATCTTATGCAAAAATATCAAGCATATTATAATATTTCTGAATATATTAGCAAATTTGTAGGCAAAAAGTTTCTGAAATACCTTTGGATTGTCAATAATAGGAGTCACAGAAAGATCAGATTCTGCATAGATCAGCTCTTTCATTTTGGATTCCATAGATTGCTGACTGCAGTGTACACTTTTTACCTATAATATGTAAAAATATCATTTCTATTTGTTATTCTTCCTTTACAAGCAAATAATACATGTTGTACAAGACACTTCATTTATGAAAGACTGCAAACATAAATATCAATGTGAAAGTTTACTTTATGATCCCCCTCCTATTTTGTAAAAGTCTTTATTGCTTGAGTTCTTTTTATTCCAAGGTAGCTTTTCGCCCTAGCTAACTGCATTTCGAATTTTTAGAATCAGTTCTGTTTTCCTGTTCCCTTTTAATCTTTAATTAATTTTTAATTTTGTTTCTAACAAGGCTGGTTTTTAGTAAAAGCAGAAAAATATTTATATATATGAAGAGACTTATAAATGTATATTTGTTGCTATTCCCCCCAAGTAGTAACAACTTTTAAACAGTTCTGACAGGCTTAACAGCCATGTTAGGTTTCACTCTCTCAGTATAAATGATGGAAATAAATGTTGTTTCCTTATAAGATTTTAATAAGCTTGTTAAGTCTTATTTACAGAATTTAACCCAAAATATTATATTGGGTGGCAAATATCATTTGGAAAACTGCACATGTATGCCTCATACTTAACCATGCCAAGTCTTGGAACTTCAAGTGGTAGGAGGGGCATGGAGTCCTACCTTTGCTGTAGGAGTTTCATAAGTTCTCTGTGCTGAATTTGAAGATAGAACCATAGTGCTAATTCTAGGGATGGGTTGAGAACTAAAAGTAGAAGTGGGGAAAAAAGAAATAACTCCAATTATTTCATGCATATTTAACAATCAGAACATTTTCAAAATTGTTGTTTATACAGACTAATCAAACCAAGATTTTCCCATGTATTAATCCTGCTTGCCCATTCCAAGATTTTTCCATAGAGCTAACAGAATATAAATACAATTCTTAACAACATTGTTTTATTTCTTATTTAATGAATAATTCTAACATGAATTTCTCTTCTTATAGGATAAGAAATTTTAATCTTAATCAATTTTCTAAAGTGCTACACATTTTTTCATACCTGAGAAGAAATATGGACTCATTTGATTCACCATCAACAGCACTTTTAGGACGCAATTCTTCTGGACTTTCTGCCAAGAAAACTCAGTACTGAAATCAATCTGAACAAGTATCAAAATGTAGTATTTCAATCTTGCATTTTATTTCTGAATATAAATTATAAATGTATTGAAACAATAATCTTACCTAGTTTGAAAGATTTATTAAAAAGGGTGTTCTCAATTCCTGGGAACATAAATTCTGATATTTTTTTATTTTCAGAACATTTCTCAGAATTCCCAGATTCAGGGATCTTGGCATTTTCATTACTGTTTAAATAAAGGGTAATTAAATAAAGTTAATATAAAAATGCATTTTATTTAAAAAGAACTTTAACAATGAGGAAACTATTTATAGATTACTTTATTCATAATATAGTTGAAAATAATATTTTTGGTATTTATCAATAAATCAAAGAAAGAATTTACATAGAGCTACTGTACTCTTGAAAATCATTTGAAAACTTCAGCTGATGCAGAATGTAGCTGCATGGGTTGTAACTGGTGTTAGTCAGCATATGTAACACCACTGCTTTGTGGGCTGCAGTGGCTGTCAATGTGTTTCCAGGTGCAATTCTTCTCACAACAGAAGAAATCTTCCCTCAGTAGATTTCAAAAGGCTTTGATAGGGCCTCAAAGAACTCCAAAGGTTATTTCCAGATTATAATGTGATGTAATTAATGCAATTAAAAGTGAAAATAATTAAATATATGATCAGTGAATAATAATATTAACAATATTTAACTTTCATTAAAGGAAAAGGAAATAAAATTGTACTTTCTTATTCTGGCCCCAACTATATTTTGGGATGTGTAATATCAAAAAGACCAAATGTGACCCTTAGCCTGCAAAATATTGCGTACTTTATCTTACAATCTTAACCTATTAGAATTTACAGTCAAAAGTCAAATATGCTCTCAGTGGCTTTGGGATGACTTGTTCAGTAAATCAGTGAAATAGGACACTGCTCTTATCAATATATTCTTCCTGCTTTCTAATGTGTCATAGATTTTTAATTGGAAGCCTAAGGCAAGGATTGTCTTTACATTTAAAATGCAGCATTAAAACACTACAGGTAATTTTTGATTTACAACTACAATGGAGACTCATTTCCAGACATAAATCATTACAGTTGTAAAATGAGATACTCATAGAACCAAACCTGATTTTACATTTTGTAATGATGGTTGTTAAATGAATCATCATGATTGTTAAGTGACTCCATGATCATTAAACAAATGCTACAATCTAAGTGTGAACCATTCTTCCAAATAAGTGGAGGGTTTTTTTGCTGGAAGTGAGCAAAAAAGGTTGCAAATTATAGTCATGCGACTGCCAAGACCCTGCAGTCAGTTGTAAAGATGAGCTTCTTCCAAATGTCCGAACTGCGTCACATGACAATAGAAGCAGGTGTGGCATGAAATTTTGTGACAGAAGTGTTTTACAGGCCATATGGTTGGTAAACATCTGTTCATCAATTGAGGACTACCTATATAAACAAACAAATTAACTGAAATTTTTTTGTGTCCAATATGCAGTGGTGGGATTCAAATATGTGAACAACCGGTTCTCTGTGTGGATGCCGCTTGCAGAAGTCCGTTCTGGGCCTGGGCAACAGAAAATAAGCTACCGGTTCTGCCAAACTGGTGCGAACCAGCTGAATCCCACTACTGACAATATGTAGATATGGAAAGATGTATTCCAATCTACCAAAAAAAAAAAAGCATTTTGTCCATATAACATAGAGACAGAATAGAGAGCATCATCAAGTAAGAACTCAAAGCACATACAAACATGATTAACACTCTTCCCTATAACCAACTTATTTGATCTAATATTAACAATGAAATTTAATTCAAAGTTGTTATTATTATTATATACACTGCAATCTGAAATAACAATTGTCAGTTCTTTAACCAGGATTCGCCTTCATACACATCAAGTACTTCCCAAGAACCTAAGATATGTAATGTATTGGAGTAGCATGTGTGTGAATCCAAGCAGTATGGTCTTTTGTATTGACCAACTGAAATATTATCAATGTATGTATTTTCCAAGTGCCATGCAATATTTTTTGATGTGGTATCCAGTGTGCCGATAACTACTGGGATCACCATTGCTGGTTTATGCCATAATCTTTCAATTTCAATTTTTAGATCTTGATAATTTGTGACCTTCTCCAATTCTTTGTCTTCTATTCAACTATTCCGTTATTCACACATCAATTATTCAAACTTTCTTCTTTACAACCACAGTTAAATCTCGTGTGTTATGAGCCAAGACATTAGCAATTTACATTTCAAAATCTCTCAGTATTTTACCTTGCCCATTGCCCATTTTAACTTCATGACTACTTTTTCAACTCTATGTTCCCATCATTTTTTTAACATTAAATTTTATCAATTTTTCGTTACTGGCACATGATCATTTTTACAGATGTTCAACTGAATCATTTTGGTGACTGTCTATATACTATATTATAGTATAGTATTATATTAATGACAAAGTAGTTAATAATAATAATAATAATAATGACAAGATTAAGGTTTCATAACTCTCTGTTAACAAACTGTTATTGTAATCCACTCATAGAAAATTTGCCACAGCATCTTATATATTCCAAATCATCCCAAAAGTTAAACGTAATTCATCCTGGATCAAATATCAAAATTTGTTTCTTAATGTCACCTCTTATCAATTGTTGTCTAATTAAATATAATAGATTCAGTCTCCACAGTGGGTCTATCCTCGCAACAAAGTCCAAATAGCAGTGGTTTTCAGTTAAGTGTAACAAATCCATTTTCCAATCTCCCTCAGACTTTGTAGGAAAAAAAAATATGTCACTCATTCAGACTCTAAATATTGTAAGGATATGCAGGTTTAAATTTCAAAGAGATGCATGGGATCAACTCAGTTAGTTCTCTGGCTATGGGGATATCTTTTTGGTCTGTGACTTTCAGATCAGAATTCTTTGTGAATATTCTGCATATTTTCCTTATCAAACTTTTCTTAAAAAAACTTTCAACTAAAAACTGCATGCTACTCAAAAGTCTTTTTTTAGATTTTAGCCACGGTTGTTTGTCTGTAATCTGATACATTTTACTTTGTGTAACTTGATCAAGAAACAAAGAACAATGAAGCAGAAGGAAACAAAAGGTATTTTCTGGATATTTCAATCCAAGTTTAAAAGAAAAATTCAAAAGTATTTTGAAATTCAAAAAGTACAAAAATCCTGTTGAGAGTCCAATATTAATGTAAATTAAATGAAAGCATGTCATCCAGAAACGCACCCGGCTATCTTATAGGGAGAAAAAGGGTTATTCAGAACAACATAAATCAAAGAAAAAGAAAAAAAACAGAGTCTAGCAAGGGGCTGAAATAAATCAGCATTCAACTGAGAGCAAAAAACAAAGTAAAACAATAAATAAAAAAAGTGGAAGCTAAGAAACCAGGTATTCTTAAGAAAACAAAACTACTGACAGGAAGATAGATTCAACCAGTGACTTTCCAACTACTTTCAGAGGCAACTGGAATCTTCAAGATTCCCCTTACCAAATGAGTCCATGGCTGTACAAAAATTGTCTTGAGTCATTCCTGAGTGTTCCTATTAAAATCCAGGGAGTCCCACTGCCAAAGAACCAGCTTTGGCAGCAAAAAGAAGCAGATCATCAATAAAAAAAAAGCCTCTTACCATTCAGCAGCCATCTTGGGGAAGAGTGGCTTTGCAATTCTTTAAACAAATTATGAATCAGAAGTTGGTCATTTGTACTTATGCTTTTCTTTTTATTTTCTTTCTATTCTACTGGAAGGATATTATTTTCTTCTAAATAATCTTGGATGTTATGTGCTATAATGCCCTGGAATAATGTTAATGTTGTATGCAAGCATGTTATTGACCGATTAGTTGTCCCTTTCCCTGAGTCTTTTAAAATTAGTTTTAAATAGATTTTGCCAGTTATTAATCAGTCACTGATATATTCTTTATGCCAGGGGTCCCCAACCTGTGGGCCGCGGGACAGGCTAGCCAGTGCGCGCCCATGTGCACGCACCCCATTTGTGCTAGTGCTACAGCTGTGGGTGCGAAAACGGGATTATACGCCTCGGGGCACAAAAACCGGACCCTGCCACGCCTCAGGATGCAAAAACAGGAGACTGCCGTGCCACGGGGCGTGAAAACATGCAAGAATGGGGCAGGGCTAGTATCACACGGGCGCTAGTCCTGCCGTTTGCATCGCACGCATGTGCGCGGCCCCATGCGCGCGCACACACACGCACACGTGTAAAATGCTTCTCCCTCCCTTTCCCTCCAGTCTGCCAACTGAGAAAGGTTGGTGACTTCTGCTTTATGCAATACTTCATTAAGCTGTTTAGCCATAATTGCATATAAACTACTCAAATATTTGAGCCATGCAATCAATCATTTCCAGGAAAGTTCCAGTTTTAAACTTTTTCACTTGATTTTTAACTATTTCTGCAGTTATTGTTAATTCTTTGATTTGATTTTTACAAATTCATTTTCAATTTTTTATTCATCCAGCATAATTATTATATTGAGTTTCCACAGACCTTTTCAAAACTAGATTGTTTCATTAATTCATTTACCTACTTACTTACCTACCTACCTACTTGCTATACTTAACAATCTAAGATAGAAGCAAACAATTAAAAATCAAATATAAGCAAACATAATTAATAAAAATGCAAAAATCTGGCTGGAGTTCCTGCTAGAGTCTAACTAAGAAGGAAATCAGTGTCCTGCATTTTCTGGACCATGACAAGAACTCATATCTGAGATTTCAAGTTGATTCACAGAATCACAACCTAATTGTACAATATCATACATATAATAGCTGCTAAAAAGCTCTACACAAATACAACCTGCATTCATGGGCCCTGCTCACAATATCACTTCTATAGCTTAACTATCTTATAATAGAGAAAGTTTATTTGAAGAAATATTACAAACTAATTATTCATGAACTGGGCCAATGTTCCATATGAAAAAGAAGTTTAGCCTTATAGTATGGCTACAGCTCTTAACAACTAAACAATGAATACACCAGACTTTTTTCAACCATATAATTTTTCAAACATTTTTAATCTTACTAATATTTCTAAACTATACAGGAGCCATTGTAATAATCATTTTGTCACAGCTAAACATTTTAGCTTATATATTGTAGTGGTTTTGCTGTTGTATTTCAGCTGTCTGTAATTATTATTATTATTTACTTTGTTGTCAATTTTCTGTTGTTACTATTCTTATTTGTTGCCTAGAAAACATATTTGACTATGTAATGTTCATAAGTCTTTAAAACAATAAATTGTGGAATAATCTCTAGCTGTCATGGTTCCAATAGAAGAGACCAAATAAATCAGAACTCCAAGGCTAGAGAATTCCTCAAAGAACATGTTCATTGGTTACATAGTATCGGCATAGTCAAAAGTGAAACCAAGTCTGAAATCCCCTCCAAAGAGAAACACTATTACAAAGTTAAACTTCCCACCCCATTGCTATGCAATCACCTATGTGTCCCAATATAATAGTTTGGCAGACTTTCTAACCAAATGCTCACATCCCCCACCTAACCGACAGAAGTGACCTTGGTTCCCATGGGACAGTAAAATGTTTAGACTAACAGAAATCCTCCGCACAAGCTCCCATTCTTGTGGCAACCTAGAACGAGCAAGATGGCTGCTGCCAGGTTCGTTGTAGAGTTGACACTAGCAAGATTAGTATAACTGACAGATTCAAAAGAATAATTATATCACAGATCTTTACGATTATTAACACATTTTGAGATACATTTTTATGTTCCTTCCATTTACTGCTACATTTCTATGAAATACTACTGTCTAAAAATTAAGACTGCAGCCAAAGGCAAAAAATATATAAATATTAAAATGTTATGGCCAAAATTTACTTTGTCAGAAACCTCATGGATTAATGAGTTAAAGTGAGTTCTGATGCACAAAAGATTACGCTGTATCAGGTTTCTTAGACAATATTTCAATTTAAAAACTAAGTTAAATTCCATGCAGTATACCATACCTGCAATTTGTATCTTGGCTGGAAACAGATTCAGTGGAAGTTTGGATAAAGGCATCTTGCCAAAAAGGATGCTTTAATAGTTGTGTCCAAGTTGATCTTTAATGCAATTAAAATATTTATTTTAAAACCCAACAGGTAAAGATAATTTAAATATCAGAAAGTGTAATTTTTAAAAGTTATATATACAAGTGTATGAATATTAATATGAAATAACTTTTCACCTTTTCTGAGGATCCTTTTCAAATAAAGAGTCAAGCAGATTAAGGAAGTTTGAAGAGGGTTTTAGAAGTGCTGATTCTAAAAAGCAAATACATATTGTATTTCATAACAAAAAGGTGATTTTAATAAGTAAAACAAACTTCTAAAAACAATGAATTTTGAATAAAATTTAAAAATTAATTCAAATATTTTCTTATTGAAGCAGATATTTGAAGAATCTCAAATTCAGCAATTTAGGGAAATATCTGATTATTACAGTAATTCCTAACCTTTATTTCCATAAATTGGAGGAGAAAAATGTATGTAGGAGTCCCAGAAACATTTCATTGTGTTAGACAGCAATAAAATTGATTATTTTGAGAACATAAAATCATTTTTCATCTCTCATTATTGATCTAATTTCTAAAACAAATATTTGGCATAGTGTTATAAAAGCAAAATTGTAATAGACTAAATATGTATGTTATGTATTATTTCATTTTAATTAAATTCCTGCTGCCATTTTTACAGAATATTGTTTGATAAATGCCCATTTCACCTTGAATTTGAAACATGTCCCTAATGTCCAATTGGTTTTCATCCCCCAGAATATCACCATAGAAATACATTTACTCTTCAAATATTTCATAAGAGTTACAACCAACATTTCTCCTAAATATTCTTCCCCAGTTGTTTTTATGGCATTTTAATTATTAATGTTACAAATGCTAGAATAGCAAAACACAACCTTGTTAAAATAACAGACTGGTATTAAATATTCGGCTAGAAATTATGTGAAGCAGAATTACTAAATTTAAATGTGAGTCTTGTAATTTATCATTTTTCTCATTTTCTTTTATTAATCAATGAGGACTAAGTCTGCAGTTTTCCAATTGGCAATGTTTTATCAGGAAGCACTGATTTTCAGAGGAAGCAGGAATATGTACCGTTATAGGAGAAAAAATGAATTTCTGAAAAAAAGAACAAAGCCAGAATATTTTTTGTCCCACTTTTCATACCTTACCAAGTTTAAATACATCACTTATCTGGAACATTGAGTCCAAGTGCATTGCCTCTTTTGCACCTTTTATCCTACTGAGCACTAGAAATAATGAGCTAGGAAGCAAAAGATAATCCCTTTTTCTTTGCTCTGGTATTTGTTGTTTACCAGCCGATTTCCTACAGACAGGACAGATTATTTTTCCTATAATGGTATACAAAATGTTTTAGATTAAAAATAAAATGTCCCATTTCAAGGCTGGGCTTGAGGGATAGCTATTTAATATATTAAATGTGGCTACTCCCATTGTTATGGAAATTTAGACAGAGCTGTCTTGATATTGAAACTTCAAGAAAAAGGGAAATAACTTGAACACTTTAAGTAGATATACTGCATTCAGAGAATTTTGAACTTTTAAACAGTTCGTATTCAAAATGTTTTTCATACCCTACTTCTCTTTTCCCTTCTTATGAATACAGAAAATTCAAGAAATATATATTTAATAACTTCCTTAATGTTACCTCTCTGTTAGGACTTTAAACAATTGTTATACTGTGCAAGAACTGAGAATTCCAGGTGACCTCAACATTTTCTCTATATGAAGAACCATACCTTTCTGTTTAGGTGGGGCAGGATCTTCATGTAAAATGTGTTCTGTTAATTCAACAATGTTTTCTGAATTGAAAGGAGGTCTTCCTATAAAACATATATTTGTAGCAGATTTCACTAAAACTTTAAAAAAATGGAGCAACAAAAATCTATTAAAGTTCATTTAAAAGCACACACTCACTGCATTCAGCATTTAAAATCACTAGAGCATTGATACCATCACATAAGCTGACCTCCAACTGGGCATTGATTTTATGATCCCCAGCATAATGTAAAGACACAAAAAATCTTATCATTAGATTTCAGTGCAATCCCATTTAAGCATGGTGAAATCTTAAACAAGATTTTGTTGTTCTTATATGAGAGCTCACAAAATAGGCCAACTCTCCAATTTTTTACCGTTGTTACATTAGCCTTTTAATTTTAATATTATCAGGGCTGAGGAAGAGACCAGGCATCATTCTAATAACTCCAGGTACGCCCATGTATCTAGGATAAAAACTCTTAAATATAACAAAATCAGTCTTGCACAATAACATAACAAAACATTTTTGTAGCTCTACTTGGTAGTTCAACAGAACTTAAATGCAAATGGAGTGCATTAGAAAGCTCTCAGCACATTTCCTAAGGATGAATTATTTACACACCTGTAGCCAAAGCAACACAACAGGAGTTTATCACTGCTGTATCACTGTTGATAAAAATATGACAGATGATTTTATACAAAAGGGTTTAAGAGAAACCAAATAAATTAATTTTGCTTTAATGTGGAAAATGTTAATATGTGAATCCAGTTTAGTAATAATGGTACCATTTTCTTTAGACAAATACCAATGGCTCAGACACATAATATAACAAACCTATTTCTTGGGATACAGTTTATTATTTTAATCATTTATTTTTATAATTTGCAACAACTGTAGTAACAATTATATCTAGTTGCAAAAAACGACAATGAGAAATATCAGTGTGTGTTTATTATATTAGCATATGCTAATAAACCCCCTAATATACATATTTAAATTCTATAACTTTTATGAACAAACATACAAAAAAACAAGATATCCACATTTTACATGTACGAGAAATACTAAAACTATGGGACACAACTTTATTGAATTTTATTCAATTTCTATAGCTGCCTATCTGAGACAAGTGACTTTACGTAGTGAACAATCACAAAGTCAGTTAAAAACCAAGTACAGGTATAATAAGAAATATATTATTAAGATATAATAGCAACATTATAATCATAGAATATCCAGATAATATTAAGTTAGTTAAATATTCAGAAACTAGCATTTATCAGTAGCCTAAAAAAACATTGAGTTGGAGTTACATCCAAAATATTGATAATCTCAGAAAATAAAGCATGTAAATTTATAACACAAACATATAAGAAATAATCAACATGTTCAGTAATGTTCCGCATAATGTAAACACCTAACCTGGCATAAGCTCACTGAATAACTAGTTCTTTGGTTGCCTGAATCAAATGATATATTTATTTTAAAAATGAACAACTGTTACTCTTTGACCAACAGCACAGAATTCTACAGTTATACTCTGATAACCTCATACATCACTAAGGTTTTTGTTAAGTTTAGCTCAGATTAAGATGTTTGTCCTCTGCTAATGGAAATTCCCCAAGTCTTATACTATGATTTTCTAATTCTATTTTAGTGTTTGTATTTTCTTTTGTGTTATTTTAATCTGAATTATGGATGAGGAATTGTATGTCTAAGATTTACTTGCAAGGAAATTCACACAAAGTCATGAAGACAGGACACATAAACTCCAGAACCCTAACTTCTATTAACATTTATGACATTAATCAAAACTGTAATACTAATTATACAAACATGAATCTTGTAATACCTGAAAACATTTCATACAATAGGCAGCCCAAACACCAAAGATCACTGGCTACAGAAAAATCAGCTCCTTTAATCACTTCTGGTGCAGTGTATAGCAATGAACCTGCAAAATAAAATAACAAGCAATTCTTTATTCAGATGTTATATAAAGGGTATCCATCTAAGACAGTTATGGCAAATGTTTTAGAGACTGAGTGCCCAAACTGCAACCCAAAACCCACTTATGCATCGTTGAGTGCTGGGTGGGTGTGTCCCATTGGGTGGGCGTGGCTGCAGTGGTAACAGCAGACTGGGTGGGACTAAAAAGTTCAATCAATCAATTCCAACTTTGCAAGAACTTTTTTTTTCCCCCGCGAGAAGTTGAAATTGACTGATGGAACCTTTCTTTCTTTTTTTGCACATGGCGGCGGAGGCCTAAAGTGAAAAGGTTTTATAAAACCCAGCTGAAGGCCTAGGACTGGGGCAACGACGTGCGTGCCCACAGAGAGGGATCTGAGTGCCGCCTCTGGCACCCGTGCCATAGGTTCGCCACCACTGCTCTAAGACCTACAAGCTTTTCCAATCCTATGCTTCTTAGAAACTCATAGAATGATTGCTAAGACTTAGTTCTAATGCTGACATCAATCAGTATATAACTGACTTCTTATACTCAGGTGCAACTTCAAAAGAAATACAGTAACATTCAATTATATTCAAATATAAAGACAAATAATCAGCTATATCTATATAAGAAAATGTCCAAAGAGGGATATTTATCAATATTATTACTCAGTGAAGTAAACGGTCATTATTGAACTTGTCCTCACATCAGTTAATGAAAAATTATCATATATATTGATTAGAATTTAGCTGCTGCTGCATTTAAATGTTTCGATATATACCTCTGATTTTATTTTTCAAATTTTCTTTTGTGCTTCCAGAACTATTATCTCCTGCCTCTTCTGTGCCAATCAAACCAAAAAAATCTTCTAGATTTTCACCTTCTGCTCTAGCCAAGCAAAAATTACTGAATTTCAAAGTGCCAGGTCCTTCCAAGAGAATCTGTAAAGTTAAACACAAACTGAAGTACCAAGTAGCAGTTTCCTGAATTTAAAAGGAATTATTTAATTATTTTCAGAAATCATATATCAGTGCAAATATATGTTCCCTTACCTTCCTAGGTGTGAGATCACAGAAAATAATTCCAAGCTCATGTATATGATGCAGTCCAGTAACCAAATCAATACCAAATTCTCTGATGACATTCTCAGGTAGATGTTCATCTTGAGCAATTAACATTTCTAATGATCCACCTGGGAAGTATTTATGAATAATCATTAAAACATTAATCTCATCTCTGCAGTGCTATTTTTGTTAAAAAAAATAAGCTGATTTCTATGAAAAACATCTAATTTTCATGAATGAAAGGAGGAGAAATCTGCTCAGATTTTATTATGCATTGTCTGTTGGAAAGATGATTGCTGGCATTTTATTTAATAAATCTTACATAAAAAAATGTTATTTCCTGTCTCCAGTTAAATCTGTACTAGTTTAAGAACATTCCCTTTCTGCATTTCAAGTCAATGACTAAACATATTGTTAGCCTATTTAACAGTAGGTCTGTTACTTAGAACTGATAAATTTATTTCAAGATAAGTGATAAAAATATTATCTAAAAATTCAGTTAAGGATCCAAAGAATCATGTTAATAATAAAAGATACCAATATAGAAAATAGAACAATAGATATGATAAAAATCAGGAGCTGGTTAATAATACATAAAAATGAAACCAGTGAAGTTTGAATTCTGTTTATTTATTATTATTATTACTTTAATTTATACCCCGCCCTTCTCCCATTCCTAGAAAAAGAAAAAGGTCTTTATACCCCGCCCTTCTCCCATTCCTAGAAAAAGAAAAAGGTCTTCCTCAGGGAATGAAAGAATATTTCCAATGTATATAACTAATGGAGCATCTCCAGTAAAATCACCATTTTCCTAATGGCAGCTTGCTTCATTTGATTAAGTCCTCTGATAAAGAATTTAGATTTAATTGAGTATATATGGAATTATCCTTCAGATAGGCTGGTAAGTTATTTAGAGTTTGATAGGTAAACATTAGTACTTTGAAACAAGGCAAATAAGGGCTGTCATCTAGCACAATACTGGCATATGATAATGTCAACCATGAACAATCTATCTCTTTTCTTATGAAGGTTATAGAACATTGTCTAAATCAACTTTATTCTGATTAGTTTAATTCTGAAAGTATAATTATTTGATGTTACAAATCCATCACTGTCCAGTAACAGAATAAGAGAGTTAGAAAGGAGTTTGGAAGTCTTCTAGTCCAACACCCCTGCTCAAGCAGAAGACCTGTATTGTTTCAGAGAAATGGTTGTCCAATCTCTTCTTAAAAGCTTCCAGGATCTACCATTGGCCTAGCAAACTGACAGGAAATACAAACTGAGAAAGTGTGATGTCGTATAGGCAAAGACGGGAAACTATTTCCAAGTTCACTCAAAATTATATCCGATATAAGTGATCCTGTTACAAGGAAAGGGGGGGGGGAAGCATGTGAAAGCTCTTAAATGAATCATAGTTCTTTGAATTTTGCTGTTTATATTTAAAATGGAAAGACCCAAACATCGTAAGACTGAAAAGAATCAAATATTGTCCTATAATGATAGCATTTCTGAAATTGCTGAATGTCTTTCCAAAACAACTTGTCAAATTTTCCTTTGATTTTATGATATTCATTTTTATTGTTTTAATCTTTGGTTGTTTGTTGTTGTTTTTTTTATTTATTTATTTATTTATATTTGGATTTATATCCCGCCCTTCTCCTCGCGGACTCAGGGCGGCTGACAATCAGTTAAAATACATAAATAACAATACAAATTTAAAATTAATTAAAAGAAATATTTAAACATTTGTCCAATTAAAATGTAATTAAAACCCCTCTAAAAATTACCCTAGGCCAGTCCTGCAAGCTG